TCCATCCCAAGTCTTCTGATTCCATCCCAAGTCTTCAGATTCCATCCCAAGTTCTCCAATTCCATCCCAAGTCTTCTGATTCCATCGCAAGTCTTCAGATTCCATCCCAAGTCCTCCAATTCCAACCTGAACCTTCTGATTCTAACCCAAACTCCTCAAATTCAGATTCGAGGCTTCTCAATTCCAACTCATGCTCTCTCCGATTCAGACCTTCCTCCGTTTCCTCTTCCTCTTCCCCTCCTCGCTCCTCGCTTCGCTCCTCACGACGTTGAGGTTCCCTATCACGTCCGCGATCTTCTCCTGCAGCGCCACCTCGTGGGGAGTCCTGATGTACTCGTGTAGCTCCTCGTTCGGAATGTCGGCCGCCGTCAGCTCCGAATCGCCGCCCTCCTCGCGGCACGTCCACTCCGTCCGCACTGCGTCGTCGTCTCGCGGCTCCCGCTCCCGTTGCGGCCGCCTCGCCGAAGGTGGCAGCACCTGTTCGTCGCCGACGCTGGCGAGGAGGGCGCTCGTGCCGCTGCTTGTCTGTGCGTGCCGCCAGTACTGCAGTATGTCAGCGAGGTGCTTGACGATGCGTCGCGGAGAGCACTCCTGCTCCGCGCGCCACGGGATGCGCGTGTAGATGGCGCTCAGCGCCTCGCGCAGCTCCGCGATGCGCCGCCGCACGGCGCTGCGGCACGGCAGCCCGTGCGCCTCGCAGAACACGCGCGCCGACACGCTCGCGTGCCGCGGGAACTCGGCCGCCTGCCAGACAAGGTAGATGACCGCGACAATGATCGGCTCCCACGGGCGGCCGTCGGCGAGGCACCCTCGCGGCAGATGGCGACGACGCGCGTGGGCTCGCTCGCACTCGTCTCGCGCGAGCCCGCGGCGGCGGCATAGCCGGCAGCAGCTCGTCGACGTCCGACGTCGCGACGCGCACGTCGAGGTCGGTGGCGACGAGAGCGTGAGGAAGCGCGAGAAGCTGGTGACGGCGCAGCCGACGCGTTGCACACGCGGTGGATCGTGATGGCACAGCCGTCGCGCGCATCGTCGTGTACGCGCCACACGGCGGCGAAGGTGACCTTGTTGGGCACGGAGACGTTGATGCAGCTGTCGAGCGAGTACGCGCGCTCGAACATGCTGATGGCTTCCTCCATCATGGCAGCGCTGAGCCGGAACTCGGACGCGACGTGACGGATGCGAGAGATGCCCGCGCTCTTGCCTTCATTTTGCGTGGGAAAAAAAATTCGCGAGTTAAGTGGCGTGCGTTGCAAAGGGAACCGGATTTCTCGTGACGTTACACTGACATGCACGCACACACACACACATACATCCACACGCACATACACCAATGCGAACACACACTGGCACGCGCACGCACACACACTCACAGACACTCACACACAGCATTCACATGACAATTAATTATGTCATTACTGATAAATATAGATAACACATAATCATTCATGAGACAATGTCAGTTCATATGCAACAACTACATACATTGAGTTCGTTGGATGAGAGAATTATCAATTACCTTCAGGCACCTTCACATACGTCCTCCTTTTCATCGCATCGCTTGCGTTGTTTTTGAAAGCCCAGATAGATGAGGCGTCGTTAGCTGACAAGAAGCTTCCCTGCTCTAGGATGCATCCACACTGGGAACACACCAACTGGTCGTGACTGTGGTGGCTGTCGTTTACGACATCTTTGCTACCACACGAGGGGCAGCTCAAACAAGATTCCGCTTGCTCAGCCATTACGGATGTCTTTTACTGATATAGCTTCCAGATCCTAGAGAATACAGGGCGCAATTAGTTACGTGGTTAGAGGAAAGAAGAGTTTCTAAATAAACCTTAATGGTGCCACACCATACGCAGTCGGCGGCCTTCGGTGCTCGCATTGGGGGTTCGTGTAACCCGACCAGGCTGTGTGACTAACGTCAATACACCGGTATTCTAACCCTAGCAATACCGTTTCTTGGAGCTATCCTTGAAGTTGAAGTTGAACCAGCATTAGTAATAATAAACGTTGTGTTTAAATAATTCTAAAAGTAATTCACAAACGAAGTAGACAAGAACAGACACCAAGCGGGTGACTAGTGTATCCTCCTAATTAACTTACTTTTAGGTATACATCACGTTAATGCAGAGCAAGTATGCTCATAGTAAACAAACGAAATCATCCAAAGAATGAACGTCTTCTGAACGTAGTGAATTGTGCTGCCATCTAGTATTGACGGGTGAAGTTGACTGCGATCTCTGATTTCTCCGAATTTTTTTTTGCCTTCTCTGAAACTTGAGAGTCTGCACTCTATTTTATGGAATTCCTGAAACGACATACGACTTTTTGAGTTTCCGAGCTTTCGAGTTTCTGAATTTCCGAGCTTCTGAGTTTCTAAGTTTCATCTGCGCATGATTTTTCACATATTTTATTATGTCCGATGTGAAACAAAGAAAAGAAATGATAGCATAGTAGGTAATTTTTTTATAAATGACCCCAATATAATTTTTAAGCTTATTCGATAGCCCAGTCACAAGAAACAGCTAGAGATCCGTTTACAGAATTAAAAAATTCCACTCCTGTGACGAGTTACGGGCATTTTTGTGACGGAATTTTGACCCATTTTGGGGAATCCCTATGTAATGGGAAGGTATAAAACGGGACATTTTTGGAGCATTCTTCCCCCATTGTTTCTGACTTAATTAGGCATATCATCAACATTTCTCAACCAATTACCTTAATATTTTAGATGAGGTATGTTCACAGTAGAGGTAATTAGTAGCCGTAATTTGACCTCTCGGTGACTCCTACGTAATGACCTATGACGGCATTAAATTGTACTTTTATTGCATTTCATTGACTTTTTTAGCCATATCATCTACATTTCTCAACCAATCACTTTGATATTTCACATGTAGTATATTCACATCAAACGTAATTAGTAGCCGTAATTTGAGGTGAGCCTTTGGGTGACCCCTAGAAGATGACCTGTGACGTCATCAAATTGCATTTTAGCGCATTTCAGTGACGTTATTAGACATATCGTCGACATTTCTCAATCAATTACTTTGATATTTCACATGTGGCATGTTCACATCAAAGGTAGTTAGTACCTTTAATTTTACCTCTCGGTACCCTAGAGAAGATGACTTATGACGTCATTAACTTGACCCCACCAGGTAAAAATTTACATAAAATTTACGTTAAATCAATAAAAGTGATTAAGTATGTTATGGTACGGGTATGCTGTTCTTGTTAACCGAAAGCAAAACCAGTAACATGTTTTAATAATAGATCGAACATTTATATATAGTATTGGTGTTACATTTATATATATTATCAAGAGTAGATAATAACACACGTTGTGTTATTATCTACTCTTGATATTATACAGAAACTCGGAAACTCAAAAAATCGCATGTCGTCTCAGGTATTCAATATCAAAGTTGCATTTTCATAATAACGAATATATTTGCAATCAATTACTGTAGTAGGCCTCCTACATGACTGAACGATGCTGCGACCTCGTGGCACAAGCCCCGAAGCAATTATTACTTATTGTTACGTTTATCGTTTAGAATATAATGCATGTGTAGGTAGGTATATATGATCTGTTGGCCGAGGTTATCATACGTACACTAGCTTGACCTACATGCGCGTGTGGCGGTTTTGTGCATATCTCGTCGGGAGTAAAATAACATAGCTTAGTGCATCAAAGACGTATTCGTATTGTACGTGTATTACTATTAGTATTAGACAGTGTAATACTATTCTTTGTGTCACTGAGTTACACACCTCTCGCGAAAGCTGTGGATTAGGGAAGCCTACTGAAATATGTATGTGTGTTGATAAATAAATAATAAAATAAATAAATATAATAAAGACGCGTTACTATAATAACGAATATATTTACGATATATTTACTTGACTGGACGATGCTGCTACCTCGTGGCAGAAGCTGGCATTATTGGATGAATGTATAAGGAGGGGTTGGGGCGCGGGTAACTTGCGGCATTAAGTGCGGTGTGCGCTTTCGGTTCAGTACGTATATACATGTACATGTATTCTGTGTACGTGCACACGCACGCACGCACGACGTCGTGTACGTGCACACGCACGCACGCACGCACGTGTACGTGCACACGCACGCACACACGCACGTGTACGTGATCACGCACACATGCACGCACGCACGTGTACACGCACGCACGAACGAACGTGTACGGGCACACGCACGCACGCACGCACGTGATATGATTACTGATGCATGCATATGACTGTGTACTGTGCGGTCGAAATACGAAATATTGAATATATATTACAACATTACAATAATGAAATAATGAGAGAAATGAGAAGATAATGACAACGGAAGAACAAGGGAAATGGAATGGACAGAGGGAAAAGAGGAAGACGCAGACGGTGATCATGAGAGATGGAATGTAGGGGAGTCAAACGAAAAGGCGGAAGATACAAAAAGAATGTAATTTTCAACGTGCAGATCATGTCAATAATGCAGATGGGGTCGTTGTCGTATCAGGTACTACAGATATGTACCCGAGGTAGTTTTAGGTTGTTTAGCGTAGTAAATCGTAGGTATTATAAGGCTAGTAAATGACGAATTTCCCTTGTTTATTGATGTCACACTCCTCCCTATTATCTACTCCTGATATTAATGAAACTAATTAGATGATTGACAAATAACTCTAAAATTTGTGATAAATATTTAAAAAAACAGTGAATCACCTGTAGATATTTTGGCCATGCAATATTGTGATGTTACATTGTAATTACATAGTGGATTAGTTCGCTTTATGATCAGCCTAGTTATTGCCAACTTATCCATAAATCCTAGCATTTACTTGGTAAAACAACATCAGTGGAACGTTTCCATTTCACATTTCAAGATCGCCAAACTGGCTCAAGAGTATAGTGTGTATAAGTTGTGTGTTCATGTTACTGTGTGGTCATGGACTTAGTTGTACTCACACGATGGCTTATCCCTTTGCAGGATGGACAAGACTGTGATGAGTGCAACAAGTTCTACGCAATTCCACACGACACCAAAGTCTCGAGGATCTCTCAAGGCGATGTCGACGCCAGCCACTGCTAGCGCGGCCAGTATGCAGGTGGTAGACATTGACATATCAGCTGTTGTGCCTGAACATTCATATGTTGGTAGGTAAACCAGACTACAAAAGTAGCGTCATTAGACACGATTGCACTGAGTCCATGTGAATCATTTACAATACGCGTATAATTATACACACACACATTTCCCTACTCACCATGGTGCCCCAGCAATAGAAATAAAAATCGTCCTTAAAAAATAAGCTCTTTGCCCTTTTCATAAAGTCCGTGTTGTGTATTTATCAATTATTTTCCCCCATGAAGTGTTGTTAAAAAAGCACATCGGTATGAAATGATTGCATTGCTGCTCGTCCAATTTGCTGCGGTGCCCTAAAATTTCTTCTTAAACTCAACGTGACACTTGCTTTGCCTGTTTGCTATAAGAATAAATTATAATTCGACCCCCTTTGGCGTGTTTTACCCCGCAGCTTTGCCGGAATCCAGGAAGACTACTTCAGCCAGACACGTGCCCAGCATGTCAAATCAATCTTCTAGGTCTTCATCTCGCGACCAAGAATCGAAGCGAGAGGTGGGAAACATTTAGCGCCTTCTTCCCACTGCCAGTAGTATTCACATTTATCTTGTTATCACATGCAAATGGGGACACATGTATCGACGTTTAGACGAAAGCTACCAATTCCAACTATCGAAATTGTGTAATGCAAGCGAGAGGGGGAAGATATTTGATCTGAGTTCCCCACTGCCAGCAGTTTCGCGTTGAATTTAATTGTTACCACGTGAAGTGTAACTCGTGAATCTACATTTCAACGAAAACGTACCCGGATGCATGGATTTTTGCATATCTCCGGTGCCATATCTGTTTCCGCGATTTTCAAAATTCTCGCAAATGTTTATTGCAGCGCGTTTGGTAATAAGCTCTAGCATGGCATGTGTTTTAGAGTAAAGCGGCGCCCTCTTTAGAAGACGACCAGCTTCACCTTCAGTTGCTCTACAGCCGCTATATGCAGTGGGCCTACATGGACACAATGTCAAAGAAAGCATGTGACCATCAGGAGGCTGATGCACAGGTAATGAAGCTCTTATACCTGCGACAATTTACAGGCTCATTAATTAAAGTCAACGATACTGTCGGTGATTAAGCATTTTTATCGTAGCACACTTTTCCAGGAATGTTTTAAGTTAATTTTGCGTAATCGCGTGCTGTGCTTGTGCAACAGAGACAGATGTACCAACTCTGGCAGGAGTGTGAACGGCTAGACGACTACAAGAGTAGGCTAGATCTCGCACTAGACAAAGTAAAGCACATCAAGATGCTTGAGAAGACCATTGCAGCACAGGTGAGGTTGTGTTCTGTTAGATTAATGAGATTCTATGTTATCCTCACGTAAAGCCACACAGACGTATTAAGCTGTCTCGATGCACGTGAAAATTTCCTTAATGTGGAAGTGTTTAAAAAGAATAATGCTGCGTTGATGATTTATAATTAATGTTTGTAATTAATAATGAAATAAACCCGACTGTCTGTTATATATATATATATATCCCTTTGTCGCCCTATATGATTTTTTGAATTTCTTATTGCTTGCTAGATACATGATCCCATATGGCAGTGGTTCTCAACTGTTTGTCCCACGTCTTTTCAATACATAATGCTACAGCTGCCCTACCCGAGCAAATTCACACAGTCGCTGACGACCCCCGACGATTCTTTACGTCTCGTGACCCAACTGTACTTTTTTTGCGTGCCTGTCGCCTTTTGCAAGTCTCTCGCACTCGCTCTTGCAGAATCACGGCCTGGCAGAAGCTTTGAAGTCGATGTCGCAGATGAAAGACAAGTATGCGAACATGGCCGCCTCTGTGGAGGCGACGTACCATCATCTGCCAACGCACGATCACCACATCCCCGACGATCCCACCGAACAGAGTGAGTATAGAGTTAGTTATAATGCTGGCCGCTAAACGAAGGCATCTTGGCACACGCGTCCGACTCGCCTTCACTCTCTAGTCGAGCGTTTCGGCTGTCGCTAACGGCTACGCGTGACAAAGTTGGCCTCATTGCGGGAACGTTCAGACGATAGCGTACCTTTTGATCATTGTTCGCTGTTCCGATTTGTTTTTTGTGTGCCCCCCACGTCGTTCGTCCGTGCTTCCGCTTTTGTTTCAAAGAAATCGAGCCGCACGATTTAGCGAGGTGCGTTATCGCTGTCTCGCGAGACGGCTTACACGAAACGGATTGCGGATTATTGAGTGACGCGCGTCGCACGTGTCTCTCTCTCCTTTAATACTCCCGCCGCTCGTTTTTTTCGACTTTTTTCTTTTGTAGTCCTTTGCGTAAAGATGCGTTCGAAATTATCATGCGTGCACGCACCTGTTGCCCTGTAGGCGACCGATCGGTGACCCCAGTCGTCGCATTTCTCTCGGCAGGTGCCATTGTGGAGGCGTTGGTGGAGACGGAGGCCCTGCTACACGAGATAACTAGCTTCATGTCCGAGCACACTCCCGCCCTCGAGGAAATTGCGGGTAGTCTGGCCAAGATTGAAGATGTGGCGGAGGAAGAGGTGGAGCAGCTGACGAAGTGAGTTGGAAGTTGAAAGTCGTGCGCGTCGCCACGTCGCGAAAACTTTGCGCGGGTTATTGTTTCTTGGCGTGTTACGCGTCCTTCACCTTGTAGCTGTGAGATGGTTGACGATTATTGGGTTGGGTTCTTTAAAAAGGCCGTCTTTAAGTGCAATTGGATTATAGAACTATAGCTTTGGGTAATTCGTAATGGGTTTACATGTTCGCTACAACTGCCGTCATCACGGGAAGTATGTACCTTGCGGTGGATCTTGTAAACCCATTAGGATGTAACTTGTTTGTTCTCTTTCCAGGTGCGATAATCTACTTACAGCCACGATGACACTAGCAGCACAAGAGGCTTCTATGAAGGTTCATCTGCATTCAGACATAGCGTAGGGTTTGGCATTGGCCTGATAGAAAGAAACGTGTAAAAAATTACTTTTGTATAATAATTTTGATAGGATGCTTTGACGATATTATTAGAGATGAAATATCGTACATATTTGTTCAGTAGTGCTGGAGAGAATTCATGTCGACGAATGGCATTTTGAGATGATGAAAATACTTAAAACAAAAATGTTTTTTGTCTGGCCAATGGGTGATGGATAATTGTGTGCCATTTAATTGGTGTTTGATTATTGGCTGGCAGGAGAGTTTGACCTTGCAAAATTTTCGGTAGGCATGGCTAGTAAAGGGTGAGAAGCACATTGCAGAAACACGTTCAGAATGATCTGTGCAAATCGTTGTTAAATCGATAAAAAAAAACACGAAAACATTATACCCTGTGTATACCCAATCGTGCTCGATTCTACTGTTGATATATTTCACGTGTTTAGAATGCGTCAGCCTGGCGAGCGGTCACACGTGTGCTAGTATAACTCCCGTTACTTGCAATTTCGTTCGATCCCATGTCCACGCATAACAAGGTTTTGAGTTTGCTAGGTGGGTCCGATGCTGCCGCACGATCCACGTATGAACAAGGAGCCACGTGGGCAATTGTGTTGACATCATCTATATGTGTCAACGCTAGCACACTAATGGCCCACTAATGATTTTCGTCGTTGATGAATGCAGCTTTTCACGCCGATCCGGACCGCCATCATTCACCCCCTCCTAACTATTAGTTTGCGTTTAGGGTACACGCTATATCGTAATGAAAAATCCCTAATCCTTACCATGCCGAATAGCTGGGCGGTAATCCGAAATTCAAATGTCAGGCGTGCATGCAGGTAATGCATGGCGAAGCGTGTACGTGGCGAAGCGGTGGGGGCCTCCTTAACGGTGTGCCGCGATTGTGACTAGAGTCTTTAATTCGCCTATCGCAACGGCGGGAAGCGAGGATAATTGGCATTAATGAGGATGGCCGGCAAAGCTACAATTAGCACTAATTATTGAAAAACAGGATGTGATGGGGAAGCATCGCAACAATGCGTTCTTTTCACGCGTGTCGGCGAGAATGTTTTCTGTTGTTTTCGGCACCTTGTGTCGAGAGAAAGACCAGAACAAGAGAAAGCCAACACGGTATATTAGCACTCGATTAGACTAATTTATTAACATCACGAGTATATTTAGGAAATATTGTGTAATTACTACAATACTGTATTCCTTATATAGTGGTGTAGTTGATATAACAAGTGTATAGTTAATTTAGTATAAAAAACATACGTATAGTAAAAACTAAACAAGTAAAAAGTGTACATTTTATTTTAATTCTAAAAAATTTCCTTCGACCTTCACAAATATGATAGTTCAGGATTGATTGATATATTACATCCTCACAACCCAGGCTCCGCGGTTCGCGGCCTATATATGGCACTGGGAGTATTCGCTCCCCACGGAGACATTGCACCGCTTTTCATCTCATACATTCCCAATGGTTGTGGGTGTTGATGAATTCATCCCCCATTTCCTTATGATATCAAAACATGATATTCTAATCGAATGTACCGCGCTTTTGCGCATAATCCCCCAAGACTAACATAATATAACCAACAACTACAACCGTCTTCGGATAAGTAGAAAAGCCAATCTTCTCTCTAATCTCTCGAGGAAGCTCTCTACATACACGAATCGTGAATTGCGTGAATAATGTAGCTATTGATAAGCCGACCGGCGGCAAGGCACGGCCGAACAAAACGGATCCGCGACGTTGTAACAAAATCCTGCGTGCGTGCGTGCGAGCGTGCGTGCGTGCGTGCGTGAGTGCGTGCGAGCGTACAGCGTACTTGCGTGCGTGCGAGCGTACGTGCGTGCGTGCGTGCGTGCGAAGTATGGTATAAGCTACCTCTGGACCAAATTTGGTACTTTTAGAAGAATTTGCACCAAAATATCCCTAACAGACCTGACTATGAGGGGTTTCTCCACACAAAAGGATACGGTACACTCGCGTTGTAACCCTATCCTGTGTTTGGGTTACATCAGGTACATTGGGTTACATTGGGTATCTAGAGCAGCATCATAACGTTACTGTGAGTGGTATATATGTAACATTTCATTATAGCCTTCTGTTGATTGAGTCCATATTCCACATTCGTTGTTCTTCATGTTTTGTTTGCAGCTAGCTGTAACTGTATACAACATTGACGATATTTGTGTGGTACTTGACGTCTGCCTTGACGATATTTGTGTGGTACTTGACGTCTGCCTTGACGATATTTGTGTGGTACTTGACGTCTGCCTTGACGGACCATTTCGCGGGTGCTGAAGTATGCGGTTAGTGAATGATAAAGTATTGAGTATTCTTCCGTACATGCGTTATTTCTGCGTCCTGATTTTCCTGGTGGGGCATGTCGTCGCGCAATGTCTGACAATTGAACGACCGTGCAATGTAAAGCATATATATTCCTAGCATATAACAGCATATATTGCGATGTATTTGTAACTGTTCATTCCATTTGCCTCACCAGCTTTATAAGCAGTAAGGAAATACCGCTGTTGACTCGTGTTTTTCATGGTTCGATGGTTTCTTTGTGTGTTATACTTCTAACTGCCTCAGCAGACTTTGCCTTTGCCGGCTCATGTACAGCTGGCTGTACAGTTATACATTCTCCGGTGGTCATATATGCGTCGTTCAGCAATATAAGTCTAGCTACGCGTGACAAATGTCATCCAAATCGATCATATTGACGAAGTTGGCCATTGTGTGCAGAACATCACGTTACATGAAGAACTTCAGGCAAAACAACGTTGCCGACATCTTCAACATGACGGCTGTCGACAGTTCCCTTCAACACGACGTAGGTACTGCTGTCATGACGTTCTGTAGCAGCACAGAGCAGAGAAATACGCAGAGGAATCGGTTCCATGTTACGAATAGCCACATAATGCGCATACTCTCTCGTACAACATCGTCATCAATTTCTTCATGCAATCATGGTGCGATCTTTCTGATGTTCACATATGAAGTGTTACATAGGACAGGCGTCATGGGGCGCTGTACAACTTATAGTGAAAACGCCTAAGACCACATGGAAATGGAACCACCGCGAAATCAAAACCTTCGCAGTCTCTCATATAAAATCTCTCGCGTCTATTAACGAGGTGCAACGGCAAGGGACCAGTCTAAATACGGATCCGCGAGTCCGCGGTAAATGTAAATTGTTATGCGAAAACAAGAAATGAATTCGCCAAAGAAAGACTTATATCGCAGGGTTCCAAGTTCAGACAATGCTGGAGCCCAATCCCCAAACAGGTATCAACTAGTATAATTCGAATCACGGAAGCTAGCATAGAGATTCCGTATAAGGTATTACTATTCGTATAGTTTCTTGTATCTTGTATCTTGGGTTCCCTCTCTTGTACTACAGTTGTAGTTGTAGGCCTATTTCACAAGGCACTGATTCTCTCTTTGGAATGTGCGGGGAATTTTTTCTTTATTCTTCTTATTCCTTTTTTTTATTTCTTATTCTTATTCTGATTCCTTCTTATTTCTTATTCTTCTTATTCCTTATTCTTCTTATTTTTATTCTTATTCAGCAGTCAGTTCAGGTAGTCAGCCTTCAGCCAAATGGCACTGAGGGTGGTCACAGCCAGAGTTTCTTTGCGCCCCCAGTGGTTCTTTTACGTCCCCATTGGCTAGTATTTCTGGAGACGGGACCGCCATTTTACGTGGTCATCCGAGCCACGGGAGATTCACAGTCTCAAATGTTGAGAGCCAGGTTTTTACACCTTGAGAAAATTCACTGCCCCGACCGAGGTTTGAACTCGCAGCATTCAGTGGACAGTGCACAATGCCTACCACTCGGCCACAGAGGCTCTCATGCACATACTAGTAGTAGCAGAATCGGGAGTAAATAACGCCAACGGCCAAGTCGCCAACCCAATAATACAGTAATACTAATAGGCCCCCTAATCACAATTGTCAGTTATTTACTAGATACAATAATGTAATCCAACAAGAGTACATGTACCCTACTCTTGTTGGGTTACATTATTGTATCTAAACAATCGGCAGCCCAGATCTCGCGCGAAGCACGAAAAACACTGCGTAGCTGCACACTAACACAACAACGCTGCCCTCATTGAATAGCAATTTACACGGGTTTACTATATAGCAAGTATGCGGGAAGTCGCTGAATTGAGCAGTTGCACGCACGGCACGCCTGGCACGCACGTTGAGCAGTTGCAGTTGTTCGCTGATTGCACGACGGGTTTGGCTACCCAGGTAGCTAGACATTTCCTAGAAATGGTCCTAATTCGAAGTTTGCTACTCGGTGCGCTTGGTTTGCTATAAAAAACGGAGTTCAACTTTGTTGTTTGTTTGTTTTTGTTGATCAGTGTAGTACATATGGCATGCGATAGATGGCGCAACGAGGCTATATGCATAGCATTCCCAATGCGCATAGCGTTCTGCCCACCTCGGCCACCACCAAACGCTATGCGCATTGGGAATGCGTACGTAACAAGTCAACAGAAATGGCGCTGAATATATCCGCCGCTCGTCACTTCGAATTTTTGTAACAGGTTATATTAGTTTAATACAGAGTATTGTGATACATAGTAAGTTCCAGGATAGCGGAGAAAGGTTCGTGTTTAGAATAAACCCAGTTTGGAACTTCTAGTCTCTGAAAACGCACCAGCAAACTGCCCTCAGTGATTCACTGATAGTCAGGGCTGTTAGGGCTATATAGGGGTTGTTTGGTGCAGATTCTTCTAAAAGTACCAAATTTGGTTCAGAGGTAGCTTATACCATACTATTACGATTACTGCCAGGCGCCAAGAAGGGCGCCCCCTGGGGCCGCCATATTGGGCAAATCCAAAATGGCCGCCATCTGAGCTAAAGATCAAGTGTAGTTCCAAACGGGAAAGGGCTAGTATGATAAAAGTTTATATATTTATAGGGTTTTTGGGGTCAGAGAATCTGATTATGATGTTCTTACATCGATTTGAGGTTTTTTTGGGCTGTTACAATGGTCAAATCCAATATGGCTGCCATATGGGCAAATGCTGTGATGTGTTTACTTAGATTTTCTAATCTCTTTCTATCTTTGGGGGGATGTAATGTTGGGATGAAACTAATTTGAGGGTTATCAATTATTAACATGCACACATAAACATACGGACATACATTATCGCAAGGAAATAATAAAAGGAATGATTTAAGTACCAAATATTCTTGTAAATTTTTATTCTACGAAGCTCAAACATGGTGGACAATGGTGGACATGGCTTCAACAAGAATTATAATTTGCTTGATTTGTTTATTCCATATTGGTCATCTATTCCTACATGTATGTTAGGTTAACACAGGCGCGTAGCCAGGGGGGGGGGCGGTGGGGGCGGTCGCCCCCCCCCCCAAAACGCCGGCCAAAAAGAGAGAGAGAGAGAAGAGAAAAAAGTAAGAGGACGTAGGAAGAAAAAGGAGCATACAAAGACACATGACAAAGACTGTGTTTCAGCTATAGTAACCTAACTGTGTACGCTCTCTGAAAAGTAATGAAAAGTGTTTTGAATCCTAACTTGTAGGGTTGAGTCTAGGGTTGAGATAGTGTCATCAGACATGAGAATATGGCCCACAGTATGCCTCAGATTGCAGGAAAATGGCTTAAATGGTTCAAAATTTTTCCCCAGACCCCCCTAGCACTGCCATGCCTACGGCACGTGCCAAACGTACGGTTGTCAAATTTGGCATGTGCGTGCATGTATGTATGCATGTATAAATGTATGTACGTGTGTTTGTGTGTGTGTATGTGTGTGTGTGTGTGTGTGCGTGTGTGTGTGTGTGTATGTATGTTCGTGCGTGCGCGATCGCGCGCGTGTGCGTAAATTATTGTGGGCTTACGATCGTGCTAGTATGTGATGGCTATCGCCGATCATCCCCCCCCCACTCCTCGGTACGGATTTAAGCCCCTGATTCGCACACTTCACGTGCGCTCGTTGTGAACATGCTGGAACCGGTGCTGCTTGTGTAGGTGGGAGGTTCTCAACATTCTGCTTTCCAGTGTGAATAGGCGTTACCGGGCCTCGTTGACACCATATCGCACCACATCCCTTGCTGTACATGAGAACAACTAGGCTTCGATCCGCTGCATATGTATCGACTCGAGAGTGAAGACATCAGGGTTTCGCGTGAGGGTCACCATATGTGTCGGTTAACTCTGCTAAGCTGGCCCATGCTGCCCAGGCAGTCTTCTTTCCACAACAAACAAAACTGTGACTGTTTATCGCACCCGGTTAGGCTGTGGAAGAGAGGTAGTGCGAAGGTTTTGAAGCGAACAAGCTTGGTGAAGATGGCATAGAAACACGGCCTATATCCGAACCGTGGATAGCGATGTGTTTGTTGTTTGGCAGTCCGCGATTTTTTGAGAATCTCGGCCTATGGAGCTCTGGGTAAGCCTCGGTACGGCAAACTTGCCGTGCCATTCCCGTCCATGTCATCTCACCAGCTTGGTTCTTCAAAATCTTTCGCACTACCCCTCTTCCACAAGCCTACCGGGGTGTGCGATACAACATCACACTTTTTTGCACTCTTCTGCTGCACTGGCGCTGTCTCAAGTCATGCACAGGAAGGTGCAAGTGCAATCGCGCCGGTGTCGAGGTCACGATGTCTGCAAATCGAGAGCGCGATGTAGAGCAACAACGTTGACAGCACGACTAGTGGGACTTAATGCTAAAATGTATGGGCACAGCCATACATATATCAAGAGCACTGTTGTGCGCCAGTTGAACTTACTGATTATATAACTGGACACAAACCATGACAGTAATCACTTCTAACCAAAGATTCCATATCGGAAAGCCTACCTTGCCTGTTGTAATTTGTCTCTTTATACACAACTGTGTAACTGCTGATATGTTAACCTAACATACATGTAGGAATGATTACCATATAGGAATAGACAAATCAAGCAAATCTAAATTCTTGTTGAAGCCATGTCCACCATTGTCCACCATGTTTGAGCTTCGTAGAATAAAAATTTACAAATAATATTTGGTACGTAAATTATTCCTTTTATTTAGAGAGAAGATGTCAGTATGTTTATGTGAGCATGTTAATAATTGATAACCCTTAAATTAGTTCACTCAACATTACATCCCTCAAAGATGAGAAGAGATTAAAAATCTAAGTAACACATCCAAGCATTTGCCCGTATTGGCAGCCATATTGGATTTGACCATTGTAACAGCCAAAGAACTCAATCGATGTAAGAACATCATAATCAGATTCTCTGACGCCGAAAACCCCATAAATATATATAACTCTTTATCATACTAGCCTTTCCCTTTTGGAACTACACTTGATCTTTAGCTCAGATGGCGCGCCATTTTGGATTTGCCAAATTGCGGCCCCAGGGGGCGCCTCTTTGGCGCCGGCAGAAATCGTAACAGTATGGGTATAAGCTACCTCTGGAACCAAATTTGGTACTTTTTACGAAGAATTTGCACCAAAATATCCCTAACAGACCCTGACTATGAGGGGTTTCTCCACACAAAAGGATACGGTACACTCGCGTTGAACCCTATCCTGTGTTTGGGTACATCAGGTTACATGGGTTACATTGGTTATCCTAGAGCAGCATCATAACGTTACTGTGAGTGGTATATATGATACATTTCATTATAGCCTTCTGTTGAGTGAGTCCATATTCGCACATTCGTTGTTCTTCATCGTTTTGTTGCTGCTAGGCTGTAACTGTATACAACATTGACGATATTTGTGTGGTACTTGACGCTCTGCCTTGACGATATTTGTTGTGGATTGACGTCTGCGCTTGACGATATTTGTTGTGGTACTTGACGTCTGCTTCCTGCCGGACCATTTCGCCGGGTGCTGAAGTATGCGGTTAGTGAATGATAAAGTATTGAGTATTCTTCCCGTACATGGCGTTATTTCTGCGTCCTGATTTTCCTGGTGGGGCGACTGTCGCTCGCGCAATGTCTGACAATTGAACGACCGTGCAATGTAAAGCATATATATTCCTAGCATATAACGACATATATTGCGATGTATTTGTAACTGTTTCATTCCATTTGCCTCACCAGCTTTATAAGCAGTAAGGAATACCGCTGTTGACTCGTGTTTTTCATGGTTCGATGGTTTCTTTGTGTGTTATACTTCTAACTGACCTCAGCAGACTTGTGCCTTTGCCGGCTCATGTACAGCTGCCTGTAAAGTTTATACATTCTCCGGTGGTCAGTATATGCGTCGTTCAGCAATATAAGTCTGGCTACGCGTGACAAATGTCATCCAAATCGATCAATAGTTGACGAAGTTGGCCATTGTGTGCCAGACATCACGTTAACATGAAGAACTTTCAGCAAAACAACGTTGCCGACATCTTCAACATGAGGCTGTCGACAGTTCCCTTCAACACGACGTAGGTACTGCTGTCATGACGTTTGTAGCAGCACGATGGCAGAGAAATACGCGCAAGGAATCGGTTCCATGTTACGAATAGCCACATAATGCGCATACTCTCTCGTACAACATCGTCATCAATTTCTTCATGCAATCATGGTGCGATCTTTCTGATGTTCACATATGAAGTGTTACATAGGACAGGCTGTCATGGCCGCTGTACAACTTATAGTGAAAACGCCTAAGACCACATGGAAATGGAACCACCGCAATCAAAACCTTCGCTCTCGCCCCCCGCCCATCTGTACGACCCCCATCTAAGTCGCGAGTTCCTCCCAAGTCCCAAACCTCTGCCCT